GGGCTTTCTTAGGATGACAGCTCTGACTACACAGGGGAGCAGCCTCTTCATGACTCCAGAGTGCCCAGCGCAGGTGTCCACACAGGGACTCCTCTGCCTCTTCAGGGGCACGGATAACACACACGCATGGATAACACAGGAGCGAATAACACACGTATGGATAACACCAATGTGGATGGTACAGTCATGGATAACATAGGAGTGAAAAACACAGGTGTGGGTAGCATAGCGTGGCTAACACCGGTGTGGATAACACCAGTGTGGATAATACAGGCATGGATAGCAATAGCTAAGGAAATCTCCTCCGTGTAGAAATTCCCATGAAACTCTTTCTCTCAGTGAACAAACGAACACTGCGGGTATCTGATAAGATCCCGTAGCTCTACAGTTTACCTTTAAGCCACAAAGTACAATTGCTTTCTGTAAGAAATTTATCATGAAGCTGGGCGCTGGTGGTGTACACTTTTAATCCCAGCACTCAGAAAGCAAAGGCAAGAGGATCTCTGTGAGTTTGAGGCTAGCCTAGTCTACAGAGTGAGTTTCTGGACAGCCAGAACTGTTAAACAGAGAAACCCTGTCTCAGAAGAAAAAGGAAAAAAAAAATTTATCATGAAATACAACACACTAACAGTATCAGAGTAATAGTTCTCTAAACGTAACTTTCCCACTAATTTCGGAACTTGTAATAGATGAAAAAGATTAAGGGCCGAGGATAGAACTCACTGACAGGGCACTGGCCTGACACGCACAAGCCCTGTGTTGGATCCCCAGCACTGCTGCCGAAGGATGGGGTGGGACACTAAGGACTGAGTAACTCACCTCATTTTAACGTCACAATTAAACTTGAAACCGAATTTCTCAACGATTGGCTTGAAAACCTGAAAAAGTCAATTGTTACTTTAGCCACTGGTGTGCAGAGATTCACCAAGTTCAATTACTAAATAAAAAAGCCATGCAGTAAGCTGGTCAGTAGGTGCTACAGACACAGAGGGACAATTCTACTGCACGCACGAGAACTCCAGTGCACAGTTGTGCATTGAGCAGGACTGCGCAAGTCTACCTAAGGGCAGCTCCACACACTTGACCAGCCCTCCTGGTGGTAACAACAGTGCGCATAAAGGGACACAAGAGGGCGCTGGTGAACAGCCCTCCACTATACACTGCTTCTCAATATGCTGAATCTTTATCAGCATATTTACCCTCCATTTTTCTCATTTTATATTAGAAACATTTTTTTCATAACATCCTAAGTTCTTCCCAAGCAATATTTAAATAACATAACAGTTGAGTAAAATTTATCAAACCATCCTCTAAAGCAATGAATCTCAACCTTCCTAATACTGCACCCCTTTACTACAATTCCTTATTGTGTGGTGACCCTCAACCATAAGATTGCTACTTCATATCCATGTTTGCTACTGTTGTGAATTTTAATGTAACCATCTGATATGCAGGATATCTGATATTTGACCCCCCCCCAAAGGGGTTGCAGCAACCCACAGGTTGAGAACCGCTGCTCTAAGCGTATCTTGCTTTGGATGCTATACAACGATAATCATAGTTTATACAAGGCTATGCTCAAGGACCTTAACAGTCACCTTCCACAGTGGCTTACACTGAGCAGTTTCCTCTATGTGAATTACTAGGTAAAGAGGAAGTGACTTTCATTACACATCTCAGCACACCAAAAAGACGATGCCATCCATCAGAACGGCAGCGCTTCACACAAAGACGGTAATTAAGCCTGAAGCCCAGGAAAACACATGCAATCTACTTGAGAGTCGGGCTCCTTTCTCTAGGTCACCTCCATGTGTTTAGGAGGTATGGATGGCACTACATTTCTGTTTTGCTGTTTTCAAAGACAGGAGTGGTGATGCAGCCCAGGGCAGAGCACTTGCCTAACATGTGTAAAGCCCTGGGTCCCCCCCCCCACACACACACACATGAACACTTCAAATCCTCAGATGGGGCAGTGGGGTAAGGGGAACTTGAACACAGAAGCCACCTAATGCTCAGTGGCATGCAGAAGGAGCTTTCACAGGTAACAAAGAGGACAGACAGGGCTGAAACATATTTTGGAGTGTCTGCACATCTTAGTAGTGAATTTGTTCAAAACTGCCAAAACATGGAAGCAACTCAAGGGGCCTTCAACTCATGAGCAGATAAACAAACTGGTTTGTACACAGAATAAAACCACTTGTCCTTTACTTCAGTTAACACTATGAGTCTCAGATTTATCATGTAAGTGAAATAATCTAGACCCAGGAACTGGCACGGAGCTTACTTGGTAGCATGCCTGGCTAGAATGCATATTTGGCTAGCATGCATGAAGTCATTTTCCAGCATTAAACTGGCCATGGTGGGAACATGGTGGGGCTTGCAACTCTAGTCTTGCAGGTGTAGCAGAGCATTGGATACACAAGGTTACCCCCCTGCACAGCAGTTTAAGGCCAACTTGGGATATAGTGATCCTGTTTGAAAAGAGGGGAAAAAGACCTAATTCTAATGATATTTAGATGGCACTGTGAAAAACGTAAAACTAAAAGGAAATGGAAAAGTGGTTGCCAGGAGTTGGGGACAGGACTCGCTACCTATAAAGAATACAAATTTTTCTTTTTTAAATAAAACTATTCCACATCTTAGTTATGAAAATTGGTTCACATGTATCTATATGTACAAAATTCCTAAAGCTACATTTAAAGGAATAAATTTAACTGTAAAGAATTATGTCACAATAAACCTTGAGAAAAAAATTAACACAGATTGAATATCCTCACCTGAAAAGCTCAGACCCAGAAGGGCTTGGAGCTTCTGACTTTCTCAGATTCTGTAGCATTTGCACATACACAATGATGGGATGCACACATGAAACTCACATTTCACACGTGTGATACACAGACTCTGAAGGAATGAGTGAATGTCACCAGCACCTGGGCTGTGATCACTCCCATCACATGAACTTGTGCCCCAGGGGATGGGACCATGCACCACGCACTGGGGGGGCGGTTGGCTCTGGCCTTCTGCTGTGGTTCTGGGGTGAACTCGGGTCGTCAGGCTTTCATAGCCAGTGCTGTTACCCAGTGAGCATCTCACCGGCTCAAATTCTGGCACACTTGGTATTTAAGTGCTACACTCAACCTGTGCCACTTTTCCCCCATAAGCATGCCAATACTAAAATAAAAACTGGTGATTTATATAATAACCGATACAATTTATATAATTATACATTTAGGTCCTTAAAGACTCAGTATGAATACTATCTTAATTTATAAAGCAAACCCTAAAGTGAACCTTAATCTGTCCCCTCTCCTGCAACAGAATTAGAAAACATGCCTGAAGAGGAATGTCCATGAAGACATTGCAGACATATTTAAGGAGAGAGTATGAGGCTGCCCCTTACCATCATGGTGTAATCGATTTGTGGGGCCATCTCAGCATTAGTTCCGCCTTTCAAGCGAAGTTCCGATGGAGAGGCAGCAAACAGAACACAAGGCATTGAAACCTGCATCAAGAGGCACACACTCCTAAGGAAAAGGCAGAACACGCTTAACTGTACTGTCTCTTGATCTCAGGACAGCTGTATGTTACTGCATACCAGTGGGACTTGTGGCTCAGACAATGAGGAAGTCAGAACACTCCAGTGTCTAAAGGGTAGAATCCTGAATCTCAGGGAAATATTTCCAAGTAGAAAGATGATAAGTAAACTGGGTCAAGGTAATAAATCAATAATAAAAGGTTTCAGCCTCTTGATTTTGAGGCTGTGGTTGAGTACCCAGCACCACCAAAAATATTAGAAAAAAAACGTGGCCGGCGAGTGTTGGGGCACACCTTTAATCCCAGTACCTGGGAGACAGAGGCAGGAGGATCTCTGTGAGTTCAAAGTCAGCCTGGTCTACAGAGCTAGTTCCAGGACACCCAGAGCTATGCAGAGAAATCCTACCTTGAGAAACCAAAATGAATAAATGTAAGTAAATGAAAATAAAAATACAGATTTAAGTTTGAATGCAAAGTTAAACACATTACCCATGTTACTGGCTAAGTTCTGTTACTTCATGTTATCATTATTAGTAATAAGTCAACAAAGAATAAAAACTTCAAACCTTTTTCTAAAAGTATTCTTGCGAGCAGTTTAGGAAAATGCATTCGGAACAGCCAAGACTAGAAATATCTTAACCTGCTTACACCTGGGTTGTCACCATGCACAAGACACTGATCAAATACCAAGTCACAGCATGTTCCTACCATCAGAGCTCATGTGACAGGATGGCCTTTTCCAAGACTGGAAACGGAATGTTTCACAGAGTTTTCTCTTTACAGTCAACACGAATGTAAAGTGTTTTTTAAAAATGAAGTATTTGGTCTGATTTTTTTTTAAATGAATGGTTACTGCCCTTCTTCAAAATGAAAATTATCACAGTCCTAATAGATTGCAGTTTTAAAGGGAATTAGATAGAGCATCTGCAGTCAAAACAAACTCTTTAACATCATACAACAAAGAAACAAGTACACTAAACACAAAGTCTCTATTTCTGGGCCCTGATAGCTTCTCAAAGAGACCCTGCTGTCAATCTGTCCTCAGCGTTAATAACACTTCTAATGAATCTTACTCTAAAGGACATATTAAAGCCTCTACTACTGATAAGCAGTTTCGTCAATTCTCTAAACAATCATTAGCGAGTAATGTATGTAGCATTGGAAAAGAAAATACAGGCAATGCAATATATTCTCCTAAAAAGGAGTCTAGGAGCAAACAGCAAAGAGATATTCAGCTTACTTACAAACAGAAGTTTGTAACTGCTGAGTCCACTACTCATTTTCTCCTAAGCAACCCAACATTTAAAGTGTTTATGTTCTGCTAGACAAAATTAGATTCTGAAAACAGTAACGGAAACCTCACTTTTAGAAGAGTAAGGAACCACAGAACCAGACACAGACAAATGGTGTAGGAGTTCCTTCTCTTTGTGTGTTGCTTTCATTGGTTGATGAATAAAGAAACTGCCTTGGCCTAGCTGATAGGGCAAGACTTAGCTAGGCAGAGAAGATAGAACTGAATGCTGGGAGGAAGAAAGCAGAGGAAAGACACCAGAGTCAGACATGCTGAATTTTTCCCGGTAAGTCACTGCCACATAGCAATATACAGATTAATAGAAATGGGTTAAATCAAGATGTGAGAGTTAGTCAATAAGAGGCTAGAGATAATGGGCCAAGCAGTAATTTAATTAATACAGTTTCTGTGTGGTTATTTCGGGGCTAAGCAAGCCAGGTGGCCAAGATGAACAAGCAGGCCCTCTCCCTTGCAACAGACAAAACTCACAGTACTACAACCACGACAAGGGATAAAATGAATTAAGTGTGGTCAAAAGTAAAATGGGCTTTCCTGCTAGGACTCTACTGCTGTTAATCTCTTTTGTGGAACTAGACTATCAAGTTTAAACTTAATTCTCTCACTTGCTATTACATTAGGAGGCAAGGCATGGAGAAATGACTTAGCCAGTAAAGGCACATGCCACAAGCCTAACGACCTGAGTTCAATTCCTGCGTCTAAGATGGTAGAAAGACAGAACTGATTTCCACAGATTGTCCCCTGACCTCCACACACACTCTGCAGTGTTCACGCACAGATGAGCATATTCACACATAAACACATTACAAATAGATGAAATTTTTAAAAATTAGGAAGTAAAAGACTTAAATACTAATGCCAATTCTTACCCTAACTCCAAGACCATGGGTAAATCACTTAATACCAGTGGGCTCTGACTTCCTAATTCATAACATGGAAGGTGTGGAATAAATGCTTTCTCTTACGCTTCAAATTCTATGACTGTTTTAGTTAATTTTTAGGGAGCTAACTGTGACTTTTTTTTCCTTGTTTGTACAGAATAGTCAATAACATGCTAATGATCAGGCACCAGAAATTCTTTCCTTACCTTAGAAAAGTTCTCTCTTAACTGATCTCATTTTAGACCCAATCACAGGCCTCTCAGCACAAAAGTCAACTTATACCATAGCTCAGATCTCATGTGCTACTAAACATCTTCCTAAAATAATAATAATTCATTTGAAAAGTCATTTGAACTGACAGAAGGTTTATAGTTATCATGTCTTACTCTGTCAAATTCTTAATAACAGACAGAAGCCATGCAAACCCTGGCTCCTCTCCACATCCTGTCAGTGTCGCTCCGCTGTCACTGGGGCATGACATGGGGGATGTTTAGAAATCTGTTAAGACATCTGTCTCCCAAAAGGCTGCATGGTTTGACCTGGGGCTTTGCTATTCTTGTTTTGTTTGCTTTCTGGTAGTAGGAATTGAACCCAAATCCTTTTATAGACTAATCAAGCACTCCACCACTGAACCAGGCCCCCGGCTCCACTTCCCAAGGGGAAAATGGGTAGTCAGGATATCTAGAATTTTTAAGACTTAAGCATTTTGCCCCTCCTGAAGTGCTAGAGACTGAACCCAGGATCTTGGACATGTAAGGCAAGCCTCCAAAACTTCCTAGAGTCACAGAGATGTTTAGTAAGACAGTAAGGAGAAACCAGGCACCTGGGAGGGTGAAACAGGAGAATCATGAGTTCAACATCAGTGTGGATGGCACAGAAGACCTTGTCGCAAAAAAGGAAAAAAAATCTGAAGATAGCAACAGCTACAACTGCCAGGTGTGGGGGCACAAGTTTTTAAGCCCAGCACCCAGGAGGCAGAGGCAGGTAGATCTCTGAGTCCGAGGCCAGCCAGGTCTACAGGATCTTCAGAGTGAGTTGCAGGACAGCCAGAGTTACACAGAGAAACCCTGCCTCAATAAAAAAAAATTAAATAAATAGATGGATGGACGGATGGATGAATGAATGCTATAACTCAACAAGTACCAAGTTACAGGACAGTCAGGGCCATGCAGAGAAACCCTGTCTCAATGGATGAATGAATGAATGAATGCTACAGCTCAACGAGCAGGCACCCAAAGATTCACATCCACTGTCTTGAACCTTGAAAGGTCTAATATTTACATTTTAAGGGGGAGAAAACTGGATCTCTAAAGTGTTAAAGAGCATCCCCCAGGAAGCATCAGAACCCACATCAGAACTGAAGCCAGGATGGAGCATTAGGTGCGACATACCCTGCTGTCTTCGTATCCGCCGTGTGGACTCCACCTCTGATCTTCTCCGGTGTGAAGGTTATCTCTGTTGAGCCGATTTCTGCCCCCTCCAATTGCCCATCACACAAATCGCGAACCATTTCCAGTCCAGATAAATGCTGAGGCCTTCAGGTCATAATACTGCATCAAAACGTGCGCAATCAGACTGCCTATAATACCCTACTCTACGGAACCGCTACAAAAGCAATGGCCAGAAAGCAAGTGCCGTGTCTTCAATGGCAGAGCTTCAACTGGGGTTTTTAACGCACTTAGATTCACTGCTTATAGGCAACTTCTTAAAGGTTTCAAGACTGGTTATTTAGGCTACAAACACACACCGAGGAACTGTTACAAATTCCAAGTGTGCACAAAAGGAAAAATAGAACTACCTACGTGCTACCAGCCGTGCTTGCTTTCTACTAAATAACTAACCCATGACACCTCTCATCCCCTAAATTCTATGTTGAGGCCTCAGCCCACACAAAATAGGATTGTTTAAATAAGACCCTTTAAAGCTACAATTAAATTAAAGACAAGCTATGCACCCTCACTATTGTGTGCGCTAACAATCTGACTGCTATTCTTATAAAAAGAGATGGATTGATTGGGGAATAGGGATGTGGCTCGGTGGAGGTGCATAGGATGAAGGAAGCGTTAGGTTTCATCCCCAGAACTATATAAACTGGGCATGGTGGCACACTGTTGTAATTCTAGCATTTGAGAAGTGGAGGCAGGAGAATCAAAAGTTCAAGGTTATTATTCCCATCTAGGGAGTTCGGGATTACCCTGGGCTAGATGAGAGAGAACCTAAGGGAAACACAACTGACAAACTACCGTGTTTCAATGCGTCCCAAGGACAACTCGCAGTCCGTCGTAGGGACAGGAAAGACGGGCGAGGCTGCACTCTGGACGCTGCCCCGGGTATCCTCTGCCCCACAATCCGGGCTCCGATCCCGGTCTCCCAGCCCGGGGACCTAGACTCAGGGGCCCGCGTCCCCACGCGCCCGCAGTACCTGAGGCCCGGTGTGCTGCGGCCCGCACGGATCTTCTGCACGCGCAAAGGGAGGCCCAGGAGGCAGCTCAGGGCGGTGGAGACCCTGAGGATCTGGCCGCCCTGCAGAGCACAGGGGACAAGAGACATTGAATGGAGGTCCCCACCGCCACGCCTCGCCCTGGCCCCACACAGCCCCGCACTTACCCCTTCCATGATCCCGCCGTCCACCTCCACCCGCTGCCCCTCCATCGCTGGCGCGCGTGAGCCCGGCCCGCAGCGACCACGCCCCGGCTGCCACCGGGAAAGGACCAGGCACCGGCAAACCCGCAGCCCCGACACTGCGCTTCCGGTCCGAGCTTGCCGGAAGGAGAAAGAATCAGTGCCTCTGGGGAAAGCCTCCCTGCGGGAACGAATCCCGTTGTGAACCTGGCCCGCCGTCTGTACGCATGCGCGCTGCCCGGCGCTCCAAAGAGGCTGCGCAGAGAGTTGTAGGCCTATGTTCCCAAACTCGGGGAGCTGGGCTGACCACAAGGGGGTGACACAACCAAACCTTCAGGTTCCAGAAGACCTTTCCCTAACAGGTACTTTCTTCAGTTGTCCCTCAGGCTGGTGTTTTAACATTCCCCACAATCGTGTGTTGCTCTGCTTTCCCCAGCACCCTTGGGTACCTGAAAGACTTAGGAAATGAGTCTGAATCACCTGAATTGTGGGATGTAAACATCACTACCTCAGTACTGTTCTGACTCAATATTCTGGAAACACATAGATAATTAAACCAATCTAGAACGTGCTCCAAGATACTAAACAGGGAAGTACTCTTAGTTGAGATTTGGAATATTAGCTATGGTTGTATGATTACTTAACTTGTTCATCATCAGAGCCCAGGCCCAGGCAACCCTAACAAAGTAGGTTCAGCCATCCCTTCTTAGTAGCTAATCAAAAAAAAAAAAAAAAAAAAAAGCAGAAAACGGAGATTTTTAAATATGGGTTGCATTGGGAAGAGGAAAAAATAGACCAGGTCTAGGTTTAAGTAGGGACAATAGAAATGAATAACTTAAGTAATCCCGGTCAAGGTGTGGCCAAGGCCAAAACTGATCCTTCATTGACGCAGTGTCTCCTGCAAGGTGGTCTAGCAGATTTCAGAACTGTTAAATCTCTCCCTGGAAAACAAGCTCCCTCCCCATCCCACCCTGACCAGCATGCGACCCCAGCTTTTCATTTGTCCCAAAGCATGAGACTCTTAGAAAAACTTCATTGTCTCATAGTCTGCTAACCAGAGGGAGAGGCATAAGCCCCTTGTCAGTATGAAAACCATGAACTAGAGGCCTGAGCGCCCAAAGGAAGAGATAACGGTGATGTACTTTTACAGGCAAAAAATAATGAGAAGTTGAGGCAAGACTGTGGCTTTGGGAACATAATATAAATGTTGTACTTTTTTTTTAAAAGCACTTTGTTATGTGTATGGGTGTATTGCCTACACATATATCTGTGCACCACATGCGTGCCTGGTGCCCACAGAGGCCTGAAGAAGACATCAAATTCCCCAGGACTAGCGTTACAGAAGATTGAGTGCTGAGAATCTGACCTGGGTCCTATGGAAAAGCAGCCATCTCTTCAGCCCCCGTGGTACCTTGATTATCTTACATATTAGATTCCTAGTGCAGAAACATAACCTCATCTGAAGAAAGCTTTTTATTCACTTGTCACAGTACTGGGGACTGATGTTGAGGCTTCATGTGTGCCAAATAAACACTCTACCAAAGAGCTGTGTCTCCGCCCTCGCTTGTGCTTTCTAATTTCTAGCTCCTGCTATGAATTCTTGACTCTGATCTGTTTGCACTATTCTAGCTTCTTTTGGTGGTAGAAGGAAGTGAACAAGATAGAAGTATGGTATAGAAAGTAGCCAAGAGAGCTGGAGAGATGGCTCAGAGGTTAAGAGCACTGGCTGTTCTTCCAGAGGTCCTGAGTTCAATTCCCAGCACCCACATGGTGACTCACAAACATCTATAATGAGATCTCGTGCCCTCCTCTGACCTGCAGGCAAACATGAAGGCAGAACACTGTATACGTAATAAATAAATTTAAAAAAAAACAAAGAGAAGTAAACACTCAAAGATGTAATTGACTTGATAAAAAAAAAGAAACTAGCCAAGAAACTATAGATAACATTGTAACCGACCTTCCAAAAGTCTACAGAGACATTTGGAACTTAGATTCTCCCAGGAATCTCATGCTGGAAAAAGGAGGCTAAAGCTAGCCAGGGAGAGAACTTGTCTGCAGGTAAGAGATTTCACACAGTTCTGACAACTCATCAGATCATCCCGCAGGAGAGACTGAATCTGAGACAATGTTGCATCGGTGATGGGCAGGACCATATGTTGGATGGGACTGCTTAGCTATACACACCTCCAGCCTTCTACTTCAAACCTAAAGCACAAAGATGAACTTGGGGGTGTCTTGGTTAGGGTTTCTCTTGCTGTGAAGAGACACCATGACCACAGCAGCTCTTATGTAGCAAAATATTTAATTGAGGTAGCAGTTTCAGTTTAGAGGTTCAGTCTATGAGCATCACGGCAGGGGCCATGGTGGCATGCAGGTACAAGTGGTGCTGGCTCCATCTTGATCAAAAGGCAACAGGAAGTGGGCTGTGACACTGAAAGTAGCTTAAGCATAGGAGAACCCAAAGCCCACCCCTACGGTGACACACTTGGAACAAGGCTACATCTCCTAATAGTGCCACTCCCTTTGGGGGCCATTTTCATTCAACCAACCACAAGGGGGTCTTTGGATTTTTCTCATTTCTTATCCAAATGTGAATACACTGACTATCTTTCTCTCTCCCTCCTTCCGTCCTTTTCCTCTCTCCATCCCCTCCCCCCTCCTCTCTTAGTCTCTTAGAATGGTTTATTGAAGATGTGTGGCTGAGCCTCACCTGTTAGGGTTTCCAGGGCATAAGCTCTGGCCCTAATAACTCTTACAATAATGATAAACTTGTATAATAATATGCTAATGACCACACTAAAAGCTTGGGGTTGGTGTTCCTGTCTTTGACCAGTCAGGATCCAGGTCCAGCTCTACATATGCATTCTAAGTGATTTCCAAAGAACAGATCTGCAGTCAGGCTTGGTAGTGCATGCCTTTAATCACAACACTCAACAGAGGCAGGGGGATCGCTGATCTTGAGGCCAGCCTGATCTACAGAGCAAGGTGTATGACAACCAGAGCTAACCAGAGAAACCAGGTCTCAGAAACCAAAAACCAAAACAAAACCCTAAACATGTGCACTTCAGAGACAAAAGTTATCCCCGAAGGGAAGTCTAAGACATAGTAAAAAATGATGAGCTGGGAAGCATTACATAAGATGACATAGGATAACAAAGCAACGTGAGTCAAGTTAAAGAATCTCCAGATCTCTAGCTGGAGTTAAAGCTTAAGTTCAGACAAGTTGATAGACTTAAGACTTTTGATACACCAGCTGGGTGTGGTGGTGTACCCCTTTAATCCCAGCACTCTGGAGGCAAAGACAGGTGGATCTCTGAGCTCAAGCCCATCCTGGTCTACAGAATGAGTTACAGGACAACCAGGGCTATATACAGTGAAACCCTGTCTTGAAAAAAAAAAAAAGAAAGAAGGAAAGACTGCTGATACAGAATAGAGGCCTCACTCTAAAGGGAATAAGACGCTGCTGACAAGTGTCATGTTGATCCTGTATCCTGGCTTTCTAAAGATCCCATCTGGGTGAATCAGTGGCCACTTACTAAAGAAAAGAGAGCAGCCACCCCAGTGTTCATCTGGGACAACTGGGAAAAGGACATGTAGCGGAATCTAACAGTCCATGGAATTTTCCCATTTTTGTGATTAAGAAAAGGTGAGGAAAATGACATTTGCTACAGGACTTTCTGTTGGCTTAGACCCAAATTTGAGCAGTCTTCTCTGGTGAATACCCCGTAACACCTTGACCACATGAGACCTTGTCTCAAATAAACAAACAAACAAACTAATAGTACATACATACAATTTGGTATCACTCTATTAGACTTAAACTTAAAAAAAAGCATTATCATTGACTAAAAACAGTCAAAATAGAAGCTACTTTATGTTAAAAAAAATGCTATACCATCAGGTACCTAGAAATCAAAGCTATATAAAATCGTATGTGAAAGCTCCTAGGATGACTCTAAAGACGATAACCACTAGTGTTTAAGGATGTGAAGAAACCAGAGGATCTTCATGAGCCACTGCTGATGTGCGTGCACAATTATACAGTCCCTTTGAACACAGCCCAGCACACTCTCCAGACTGAACGCTGCACTACCCGGGCCTTTGCCAGTTCTGTCCCTGTTAGAAGTGAAGTGTGTCTACACAGCTGGGAAAGCAGTGATGCACTTCTTTATCCCCAACACTGGGAGGCAGAAGCAGGTGAATCTGAGTTCCAGGTCAGCCTGGCCTACAGAGTAACTTCCAGGACAGCCAGGGCTACACAGAGAAATCCTGTCTTGGAAAACAAACAAACAAAACAAAACAAAAGAAAGGAAAAAGAAAATGTTTCTACACAAAAGTTTTTGTCTTTTGTGTCTGTCAAAAGCAGCATTATTTACAACAGTTCCAAAGCAGAAATAACACCAATGTCATTAAAAAAAAAAAAGACCAAAACAAACCAAAAACCCCACAAGATCCTTCAAGTTAGAGCTTTCAGGTTTTGTGTATATGAGAATTGGAAATTGTCAAACCAAAAACGCAGCATAGTTGAGAGGGCACTACTCAAGTCAACGAGAAAAATCACCTAGAAGTCTGGGAGTGCAGCTCAGTTGGTAGCGTTGGCCTAGTAGGCACAACAGGTCCTATTTTGGCCACAACGTTACATATTCAAGGAAAGGGGATGCCATGTGAAGCTCTATCCAAAAAAGGAGAAGGAGAAGAAGAAGAAGAAGAAGAAGAAGAAGAAGAAGAAGAAGAAGAAG